TAATTTACATGTAATTATATTATTAATATTAAACACAAGTATAAACATTCATTTGCTTAATCATTCAACAAATATGTTGGCTACAATGTGTTAGGCAATTTTCTAGGAACTTGGCATATAACAGTGAACAAAGAGAAGCTTACACAGCTTGCATTCTAATGAAAGGCGATGGCAAACAGCACACATGTATAAGCCAACATAGAGGTATAAGGAAGTGGTAAGTCATTTCCACCAAAACAAAGAAGGAGTGTGAAGCCTTGTGAAGAATTACTATGTTTCATGGATGGACAATGACGTGCACTTACATAAAGACTCCAGTGAAGTGAGGCACAGCATCACTGGGGAAGTCACTCTGAGCAGGAGAAGCAGTGAGTGGGAAGACTTGAGTGGGGAAGATGCTTATCCTGCTCCAGGAACACAAACATTCTGAATATGGCTCAGCCATGAAAGAGAGGAATAATACTGGAGTGTGTGGGATGCGCTGGCCAGAGTAAGAATTTTGAGCTTTATTCTGAGTGATGGATACTTGAAGCCCCTACAGGAATTACAGCAGGAGTAATCTGATCTGATTAATAAAAAGAGGTGGACAGGCGATTTTGGAAGTAAGAGCACCAGTAGGATTATAGTCCAACAATTATGATGGAGGACATGTTGGACTAGAACAAGGTATTAGTTGTGCAGTTTGTCACAAATGCTTTATTTAGGATATATTTTTAGTGGACATTTGTCTCCGATATATTAAAAAGAGAGAGAGAAGAAGAGGGAGTGTGTGTGTTAAGGACTATTCTCATTTTTGTCTTGAACAACTGAAAAACTGGTGATGACATTCCATGAGATGAAGGAACCAATGGTGTGGAGGAGGAAAACAAATGCAGTGTTTTAGACATGCTGTTTCAGTGCCTTTTCATGAAGGAAGCTGGTCCTTATTGTTACTTTCCGCTCTGATCCCAGTAGTCAGAGGCAGTTTGGAAAAGAGGAGTTTGTTCCTTTGCCCAAGAATTATAAATTCCATTACCCAATAAAATATATATTTTGTCTTGTCTGTGAGATTCCCATGAAGTTTGAAGGAGGTAAAAGATGTTTATATATGCATTCTCACCTCTTTCTTTTATTATAAATAATAAAATTTAGCCTAAGCACCGAACATAACAAATGATACAAACATTACCATTAGTTGACTTTATCCTTTGTCCTAAGCACTTTTCTAAGTATTTTATTTCATTTCTTGCCCAAGTCATATTTCATTTCCAATGTACCAAACATAAAGATGAGCTTTAGAAATGTCAAATAATTTATTCATGATTACATGGCTAATAGGTTTGTGCAACACCAAATTTTTATAGAGCTTTTGTAATCATACTATAATTTCCTGGCACAAATCATTTCTCTCTTCCATATGGAGTTTTCTCAAGAAAATCAAAATGAAGCTTTATGGTAAGAGGACCATTTTTATTTAAAGGAAAAATATTTCTCTTAACTGAATGTTAGTTTATTCAAGCACATCATAGTTACTTCTACAACTAAGAAAATACTTTTGTGCTTATTTTTGCTCCACTGTCCCAAAGCAGCCATTGCTGACTTTCACCCACCTCATAGTATTCTTCTGCTCTCTTCTTAGATGTTCTGGCTTCCTAACTCCCCATCCTATATTGGACACCTACATTGTTCTCATACCCCTGAACGTTCTGGCAATTTTTATTTAGATTTTTGACTACTCAGCAAACTCTTTGACTAAAATATTGCTTTGGAGGATATAAAACCTCTCACCAGTTCTGAGTGTCATCGCAGGAATTTGGCCAAAGTGCTGTTTTATGATAATATGGAGCCAAAGTACTACCTGTGAGCAAGAAGTACAACTGGCAGCTTTTGCTTATTATTTATATGACTGTGAACAGGCACAATTTTGTTGCAAATTGAGATATTAGCTAATAATGAGTTGAAATTACCCATACTTATTTCCAGAGGGAAAAAGGGAGAGTATTTGCATAATATGTAGATCATTATTTTAGCCAACTTGTTGCACTGTATCTTTGTAATTCTCATACAGATGAAACATATGCATCATCAATGATTAAGGAAATCATCCCAGAGCTTTGTATTCAGCCTCTCGAGTTTACTGACCACATGCATTTTTAGGAATTTCCATAGGAGTCTAAATATTGGCTATGTAATCTCAACTTACATTACTGACCCATTTAAATACTTTACTCATATGTATTCTATTGTCATGCTTTGGGGTCAGAAAGACCCATTCAGAATTTAATGGCATCATTTATTTTCTGTGTGATGATGAATAGTTACATAATTCTTCAATTCTCAGTTTTTAAAAATTATACAAAGCAAACATAATGACACCTATTCTACATTATTTTGGGGAATATAAAAAGAATTAAATTGTAAGAAATATAGACCATGGAAGTGGTAGAATAGTCAGTGTTATAGTTAGATTTGACATGTAAACTAAATGGATAATTGATTTATGATTCTAACAGAAAATATGTTGTTTAGCTATAGTGAATGAAAAGCTAACTTTTTTTTTTGGTAACGGGGATAGAACTTGGGACCTTGTGCTTGCAAGGCAGGCGGAAGAACCACTGAGCAAAATCCCTGGCCGAAAAGCCAACTTATGACATGTGCATATGAATATATAGATTTAATAAAATATCAGTGTATGTGTATCTCTTTTATATATGTAATTGCACTCATTGACACATTTTTATTTAAATATTTTCTGACTTAAATAATGGCTTATATTGGAAACCACAGAGAATTAGTGTACTACCTATTGGAAGGTGTGGAGGGTATGAGAAGTTCTTGGGCCCTCGGACAGCCTTGGGAAGACAGATTGTCCTGATGTCTGTGGGAGGCCCAGATAGAGAAGTTAAAGATAACTTCAGAAGGCTGTTTCTCGATCCCACGTGTTCATTCCACTGCAGTCCCTTGAGACTCTCAAATATTAGCTTGGTATAAGACTAGATAAGAATAGCTAACTTTTTAGAAGCTTTAAGTAGCCAGGATGATTTAGATAAGATGCACTAAGATTAAAGGAGCATAGGTGGTTCTTTAGATGCTTTATGTACTCACAAATATAACTGGTGGTTAGTTCACTAGCACTGTGAACTGTTAATGATTGATGTATCCTACAGAAACCTGACACTCACAACTTAAAGGAGGAGAGGTTTATTTTCACTCAGTTTCTATGGGTTCTGTCCATGGTTACATAGCTCCAAGGCAGAAACAGCATGGTGGAAAGGCATGATGGAGGAAAGCTTCTTATGTCATGGCAGCAAAGAAGTAGAAAAAGAAGAGAGAAGCCAAGAACAAGAATAAAGCCTTCTAGGTCACACCTTCAGTTACTCAACTCCAACCATACTCCACCTTCTAATAATGCAGTTACTGTGCTTATGAATGGATGAATGAATCCATGAGGAATATAGCACCCCAGTGAAACAATCATCCTCCAAAAGCCCTAGCCTTGAACATCAGACAGTTAGGGGCAGTTTAGATTTAAACTATAACATTCCACTTCTGACCCCCCAGAAACTTATGTCCATCTCAGTATGCAGAACACATTTACACCATCCTAAAGTTTTAACAGTTTAAGTATTGCTGAAAAGTCCACGTCCAAAGTCTCCTCTGGCAAAACTGAAAATATTTTATACATTTTCGCACTGTCCTTTTCTCCTGATTCTCACTGTAGATCTGGCTAAAAGCAGCCTTCAGTTTTGCCACCAGCTGCTCAAGCGCAAGGACCCAAGTTCGATCCCCGGTACCAAAAAAAAGCAGCCATCAGTACCCATGCCACATCATAAATGTAGTGCTGCCTTGAAATTTCTTCTGGAAGGTTCATTGGTCCATCACTTTCAAATTTAGCCTTGCACAAAGTCTTAGGACATAGAGAAAATGGAGACAAATGTTTTGCAAATATATAACATATATGGCTACTAGACTAATTTTCAGTGGGATCCTTATTTTCCATCTGAAAATATTATTTTCCATCATGAAACCTCATGAGCCTGGTGTTTACTATCTGAATGCCTGTCAGCATTCTGGTCATCTGAGCTTCAACCAGAATCAGCCATCAAATTTGGCATATAGCATTCTAGGGCTTCTGCCAGCCAACTTCTCTGAAACATTCTACACCGCTCCTATAAATCTGTTCTATCGGCCTCTGGACTACATAATCTAGCACAGTTGCAGCAACAAACCAGCTCCTACTACCACTTTTCTGTACTAGTCAGCTTTCTCATCACTGGAACAAAAAACCCAACATCTGCAATATAAAGAAGCTCACAGTTCAGTGGAGTCAGTCAGTGGTCAACAGATCCCCAGGCAGAAAAATTATGGTGGAAGAGCATGGTAATAAAAAGTCATGGGCACCAGGAAGAAGAGAGAAGGGAAAAGGGCTTGGGATAAGAGTATCCCCTTCCAGATCATGCCCTCAGTGATCCACCTCCATACAGGCCCTACATCCTAACAACGCGGTAAGCCGTGAACTCACCCGTGGATAATTCACTGATAAGTATAGCACACCCAGGATCCGATAACCTTCCCAAAGCCCAATCTTTGAATATATGAAATGGTAGGGGAATATTATATATCTCAACAATAGCATTCCATCTGGGGGAAAACTGAGTAAATTACATCATAATATGAAAAATACCTATTGGAATACCATATTTATTTGTAAAAGTGTGAATAATCTCTACACTGGGGCCACATTAAGAAAGTAAAATACGTAAATGAGTATTTTTAGAATGTAAACTTCAAGCAATGAATGATTATGAGATTGTCTAATTCATCTCCAACTTTGCAACACATAAGAAAATGAGAATAGAAAAGCGAAAAGGCCCTCGGTGTAGTTGACTTTTTGAAGAAAGTCAGTGACAAATGATGCAATAAAATGTACATTTGGGCTGTTTTCTTGTCAGTTTTAACTTCTAATGTTCATTCTCATGAGTCTCCTGAAGGATCCAATGGATCTTTGTCTTTATTGACAGGCACTATTACAGATAACTCTCCTTCTGAGAATTTTCTTCATCATCTTGACCTTGACCTCCAATGGATCTCTTCTGGATCAAAAGCAAGAAGTGAAGTTCTTTCATTAGTTTTTCTTTCATTCAATTTTAGAATTTTCCTTAGAGCAGCAAAATATCAGTGTACTATACTATTTTATAGTGTAGTCTTTTAAATAAATATTAACCTTGATATTCTACTCTTTCTTATTTTAGAGTAGATAAATATATCATTTCTCCTAGCAAGTGATTTTTAAGTGAATATACTAAAAACACTGTATCACTTACTTTCAACTTTATCAATATTCTTGTGTATTACTTTTAGCTGAAAAGAAGCTTCATCTAATTAATCAATGTTTTTACTATGCAATAAAATGATGAGAATAGATTTTCTTTAAAAAACACAATGTATTTTCTTTCATTGTTTAATGCCTATTTTCAAATAGCTTAGAGGGTCATGTTTCTCAAATATGTTAAAATTCTATGTATTTCTAGAAAATTAAGAGAGAATTTTATTACAATACTAATTATAATGCTAACATGTGAAAAGCTTATTTAAAGCAAAAGAAAGTTAATGACATATTATTTCAGACTTAAGGCAGCTCTTTTGGAAACTCTTCATTGCTTGGTGTTCTCAATCCTGTGTGCATAATGCTTGTCTAATGCCTAATGATTTAGACAAGTAAAAGCCTCTTGTCCCTTCTTAAAGTTTGTTTTTGAGGTAAGACATTTTCTTTAGGTATTGGTTGCATGGATTATATATCTGTCTAATATTTGATCCATCCATTTTATGATATTCTCTCTTTACTTAATTTTTTGACTAGTAATTGAGGAAAATTATTACCTATTCATTGACTCCGTGATGTTTCTTAGTTGTGTCACTTTGAGTTAGTTAATATGCCTGGCACCATTTTCTTGCTCTCTGAATTAGGATTGATATCATTAATCTCACAAAATTATTGGACAAATTATGCCTTATTACTTTTATTAAGAATTTAGGATACATAGTTGGTCCTTAAGAAGTGGTAAGTGTGATTTTATAAGAAGTTTTGGCAAGGATTCTACCATTTGTGAATTTTTTTGCAGTTTTAATTTTTAATTTTTACTAGTGTGTGTTTGCAGTACATAACAATTTCATTCTCTGTAGGGAGTTGGTATGTGTAGACAAGGAATTTTAGGGTTTTTTCATCCTCTTACCCTCTTTTGCCTCCTACCTCCCTCCATATCTTGATATCTTTCCCTTTTCTAAAAGATATATCTTCTCACTTTCTATTATGTGCCTTTTATTGTACTATTTATTTATATTTTGGCTTTCTCATATAAGAGTGATTGTGTGATATTTAAGTTTTGAGTCTGATTTATTGGGTTAATATTATGGTCTCAAGGTGCATCTATTTTCCTACAAATGACTGGAATTTATTCTTCCTTCTGGCAGAGTAGTATTCCATTGTGTATAAATACTTCATTTTCTTCATCCATTCATTCATCCTTTCATGGACATGTAGGCCACTTCCAAGATTTAGCTGTCATTAACTGTGCTGTTATAAACATGAGTATACATGTATCACCATACTTTCACTCTTTCTGGAAGGTAGCTAGAGGGGAATATCTCAGTCAAGTGGAATTTCTATTTTTAGTTTGTTGAGAAATCTCCATACTGATCTCCATAGTGGTTGTACTAGTTTACACTCCCACCAACAAAGTGAACACTGTGGTTAAAATGGCTTGTCAATTGCCTAGTAAAAGTAATAATTCTATATATATAAAATAATTGAGGATAATGAGATATTTCAACTAAAAAGTCTTGATATGATCTGTGATGATTAAAAGTTATCTTCCACAGAACTGCATTAAATATTTGGGTATATATTTATTGTTCCTGATCCTGGAGAAGTTTAAAAGTTTTATTTTTATTAGTTGTGCATGAGTATGCCTTTAAAAAAACTTTAGAATTATTGTTTAATTTTGGTTCTGTAAAACCAGCTAATATTGTCAAAATTCACACAAATGTTAACATCCCCCCCAGCATCAATGGGAAACCTAATACAGAAATTGTTCATTTAGTAGTGATTATAAGTTGGAAAAATTTCTTTGGGAAAAATTTAACAATATCTATCGGTATTGTTAGTATTACACTCCATTTCCAAGAGGTTATGCTACAGAAATGATAGGCTCATACATGTGTGAATTGATGTAGGCCTGAGATTATTTATTGCAATGTTACTTGTAATGGTGTAAAACTGAGAGCAATCTAACGATCATTAACAGGTGACATTTAAAATTTATATTTGATTCTCAAAATAAGAAAATATATCTAGAAAATAAAAACAGGTTCCAAATGAGGTACATAATATTTAGTACAAATATGGAGTGACCATAAGTATATGTGCTACATTTTATACATATAAAATAAAATACGATGTTGTAAGTTATGCCACCCTGCAATGCATGTAGGTATATAAACGTATATATTATATCTTGATGAAGTGGTGGAAAGCAATGTAGTATGTCCAACTTTTGAGTCTGATGAACTCTGGTGGTGGTGATAATATTGTACATAAAAGTATAAAACTGTATTTCATTGTATGTGTATTAACATATCTAGGAAAATAAACAATAAACTTATGTATAGTTTCCTGTGTAACGGTAAGGTGGATTCTGTGGCAAGAAAAAAAGAAAAGGAAAATAATTTTTGTTAAATTAATATTATTGTTACATTTAAATTTCCTCACTCATCAAAATAATAACTCAAAAATTTTAAACTATGTGATTTAAATAATGAAGCATAAAATCTCTGTGTCAGGATCAAGGATGTCATCTAATGTAATTCATTCAACATTTCAATAGGAATTAAAGTTTATGTAATGTGTGCATATGTTCTTATTCTTTCTCAAAATTCTAACCTAGAAATAAAACAAGGAAGCGTAAATTATACATATTTAATAAGACTCAGAAATATGAATGCCAAAAGAAAAGATAAGATCACACTCTGCATCAGTGGTACTTTCTAATTATAGGCATGAAAGGAAATGATTCCATTTATTGAACCTACTGTTGGGTATATGGGAGTAGTTAAAGTAGTTGTATGCTCCAGAAAGGAATAGAGTATGTAGATTCTTTAAATAAGCAAAATTTGTATATATGGGGGTACATACTTACAAAAGCACTTGGTATTGGGTTATTTTCTGTTGAGTGGATGATGGAAGGCAGTGTAGTATGTTCAGCTCTTGAGTTTGATGAACTGATGGTGCTAACATTGTTAGTTTACTTACTTAGCAGGTGAAGGAAAATGATTAAAATGAGCTTTGAAGTCACTTTGCTTGAATTTGATTCTTAACTTGAGAGCTTAACTGGTGTAGGCCTTTGGGCAATTATTTGTCCACTATTTGGCCTTGTTTTCTTCCTCTGTAAAAGGAGGATTTTGAGAATTAAAAGAGATTCAGCACAGTGGCTCATTCTAATATTGTAAGTGCCAAATAAATGTTAGGTGCTATTGTTGTTATTGTTACTATTTTATATGAAGATAGAGATATTTGAACTAATTCATTTTTTTTCTTCAAGATCTAGAAGTCAGGTTTAGGATCAGATGCCACAAGGAATGGGGAAAAATACCAATGTTGAACTAGAAATCATAATTATGGATTCTTAATTTGCACTCACTCTATGACATTGGATTTTATGTCTTGCTTCTTCACCTATAAAATAAGTGAAATAAATAAAATCTGCCATTCTTTGAACTCTTATTATGCTCTAAAGGACTTACTTGTATTTTTCCATTCAATTTCATTCTAAACTCATGACGTGCTTTTATTGTTTATGTAACAAAAAAATTAAGGGGTTTGATTAAATTGTTTGAATGTATGTTGCTATAAAAGAGTGACTCAAGGTACAAACTCGAGCAGTCTAATACACAGTTCTTAATTATCAAGGAACATTTTCTTCCATGTAATGATAACAATATTCAATTACCTCAAGGATTCCAGATGAGAAATATTGGCAAATGTAGCTTGGAAAATGTAAAGAGCTATAGTACTTTTGAAAAAGACACATATTTTTGAAAAGATAAGTAGTTCGAATAGCTTATTTCTGAATTATTTTAGTCTATGATTCAAAGAGTTCTTCTCATGGAAAAAGTGTCTAAGGTGTTACTTACTCTTTCCAAAGTGCTTCTCTTCATCCTGGTCCATACATGCCCGACTCTCCAAGAGTAGATATTGCTCGTGTTTTGTCACAAAAACTTTTGTAAAAATGGTATAATGACAATGTCAACATCACTTGGTGCTATAGTTTAGACTGCTTCTTGCATGCCTGCCCCTTTGGAGTCTTGGTCCGCAGTGTGTTGCAAGCTGGTTGTTCTTTCAGAGATCCAGCCTAGTGGGAAGTTGTTCATTGTAGGCTCCCCAAGAAAAGACTACGGTCCATGTCCTTGAACCTCTGAGTTACTTCTTGTGCGATGGTAAGACAAGACTGGTCAGTACTCAGGCTTTAATATCATTGCTAACTTTGCCATCATCACTATATTATTAGTAGTAATTGATCATTATTGAATTCCCAGTGATAAATACTGAGCAAGTCTTCTCAGGCCAGAGTTCCATTAATAGGTGGCAGAGTAAAGCTTCATTGTGTATTTGACTATCGCCATCTTTACCTTGAGTTTAAGGCCATCCTGGGCTACACAGTGAATTCAAAGCCAGCCTGAGCTACATAGTGAGATCTTGTCTCAAAAACAAACAAACAAACAAAAACAAAACAAAAAATAATAAAACTCAACATTTTAGTAATTACAAGCAGTTACCAGTTCTTACATTCTTAGATATTTCAGATTTCCTTAGGTATTTCAGATCTTCCTATTTTTGTCTCAGAACTTTTTGTAAATCTTTGCTGGTTATCAGAACTTTAATAAAATTTTTCTCTTCCCCACACAAGGAGGTAGAGACTTAATAAATTGCCTCTGTGAATTAGGGTTGACTGACAAGGAATGATTATACCACAAGGGCATGATGTCCTCATCATTTTTTATAAAGCTATCATTAGAATCAGAGTCAGTAAAGTAATTAATCCCTTTCTCTTATAAATCAATGTTTTGTGTACTGGCAACATGAATATGGATCCCTGCAACTCCATTCTATTTATCTAGAAGTTAAACTGGAACCTCCCTGTTATATGCCTTTGTTACCTTATTCAAACTTCACAGGTTGGCATGGTAATTGTCCTCCGATAGTAAAAAAGCAGATGAATATTTCCAGCTACATTTCCAGCTTCAGTCTCTCTCTCTTGCTCTCTCTCTCTCTCTCTCTCTCTCTCTCTCTGTCTCTCTCACTGACTTTTAATTAGCTTTCACTTAAATTATAAAATAGATTTTGGGAACTGACAATTCTGGGTCAGAAAAACAAATAGCCTGAACTGGATCATGTAATTTTTGTGGAGGTTTAGCTGATACCCTCAAGAATATTGACTAAGGGTGGGATGCTCTTGCTCTTTGTAGTTAAGATATACTGTTACACAAGTGCACAGCTGTCTGACTACTGTATGCAGTTACCAGATAATGCCTTCATATGTTTCACTTCTTATAGAGAGTTGGCCACCAACTTCTTTTTAAAAAGTTGGTTCCTTATAAGAAACTTGACAGAAAAACAATCTCTTCAGATTATCATTCACTCATTTCTCTCACACACATTGTGTAGTTGTTAGCTCACATGTAATCTGTTGTCTCTAAGATGCATCTGTGAACTTGTGATTTATTTTGTCATAGAATAGCTTAGTAAATGTAAGCTGATGACCATTTACAACAAGGAGAAGAAAGCAAGGTCTAAGCAGAATAACTATTTTTTATCATTATAAAAATGGTCCCAGACTTTTGATAGTTTGACTTATGGAATTTCTTCTTTCAAATGGTATAAAAATGGTAAATATTCCATAGAAACTACACTTTACATTTTGATTTCTATTTATCAGTATGTGGTATGTTACCCTCTCGTAAGGCTAGGCAGCAGCCACAAGCCACAACCCATCTGCCATTCCATCAGAAAGGTGAGCAGCCAACACAATACTGCACACTGGGTTGCTAAACAGTGATACTCACTAGGTTGTGTGTGTTAAATGTATTTATGACTTATGACATTTGCCACTTACCATGAGTCTATGTATCCCCACTGTAGGTCAGGTAGCATCTGTATAGGTATGTAAGATAATGAGAAAATGCTTGTTTTCATTTATTTTGATACCTGTGCGTACTTTATTCACATAACATTTTATTTAACTAAGGAAATAGCTTCATTAAAGAGATAGTTCATGATGTCATCTTCCACGAAGTCCTCATTGCTTTTGAAGTCATGCAAACCTGGGCACCAATCCAAGATCTGGCACATAGTTGGTTGTGTGTCCTTTAAGAAGTTAGTTAAAATAATAATACCTTAGTTCTCTGATTAGTTCCTTCAGAAAAACAAAAACAAAAACAAAACCAGTACCCAGGGAAGGTGGGTGGCATTTCAGCATGTGCTCAGAGCTAATGGGTTTAGATCACTCAGGACATTTTGGGTCCTGTGAAGTTTTGGGTCCTGTCTACTTCAGGTGACACGAGAAGATGTTGGAGAATTTGAGCAGAAGGCATATATGAGCTGATGTGTTTTCACACCACTTAGACTGTGAGGTTGAGGACAGATGGAAAGGGTATAGAAGAGAGGAAGCAGGACCAGGAAGGAGCCAGGGGAGAAGAGACAGCATTCTAAGGTGTTGCTCTAGAGAACTCAGGATGGGTTCAGAACAGGGGGTGACTTTTTTTTTTGAAGAGTTAACAGGACTTTGCCTGTTGGAGTTTTCATTGTTACCTTGTATTATTGTATTTTGAAATTTTCTTTTATTCCTACATTTTAGGTATACAATGTAATGACATTCATCATTGGAAATTTGCACTTCTACATAATCTCTCTTGGTTCTTATTTTTCCTCCTTCCC